AATTGGTGAAGTACAAAAGATATTATTCAATTTAATTTATTCTTTTAATATTTCGTTAATCATGTGTTTTATTTATTTCATATTTAATTACTCTATTTTGATTATTTATTTTAATAATATTTATTCGATTTTTCCTTTTACAATTTCTTTAATTCATTATCTTAGTTCGTTAAGTAAAAAAATTATTGTTTTTTTAATTTATTTTTGAATATTTCGTTAATTATGTATATTATTTATTTCGATTATTTATTTGAATAAAAATAATAATATTTATTCGATTTTTCGTTTCATCATTTCTTTAATTAATTATCTTAATTGGTTCGGTAAAAAAATATTATTCAATTTCATTTATTCTTTAAATATTTCGTTAATCCTGTGTTTTATTTATTTCATTTTTAATTACTCTATTTCGATTATTTATTTGAATAATATCTATTCGATTTTTCCTTTTACTATTTGTTTAATTCATTATCTTAGTTCGTTAAGTAAAAAAGATATTGCTTTTTTTAATTTATTCTTTAAATATTTCATTAATTATTTATATTATTTATTTCATATTTAATTAATCAATTTAAATTATTTATTTAAAACGTATATTTAAGTAAAAAAGAAAAAAAATTAAAACTCAATTTAATTTATCTTTAAATATTTCGTTAATTCTCTTAATATATAATTTATTTTATATTTCATTTTATTTCTTAACACAAAAATAAAACAATAATTCTGAAAAAAAAATTATTTTTGACCCAAATCCGGGTCCGGACCCGGATTTGGGCCGGATAGCCAACCAGGACCAAAATCCGGGTCAGTGTGTCCGGACTGGTCCGGGCCATATGGTCCGGACCAGTTCGGACCCGGACCATCCTGGTCCAGTAGCCGTAATGGACCACATGGTCCGCTACGGCCTATGGTCCGTAGCGGACCACTGATGGTCCGTTACGGACCGTCTTACCAACGGAGTCGTCGGAAACTCCATTTTCGACGAGCTCCGTCCATTTTTTTCACTTTTTTTCAACATTTTAACCTCAAATTCGATATTTTCTTACATTTTAACCATAAAAACATGAATTTAACCCATATTCATACCTAAACATTCAAACTTTCACAAAATTCGAAGTAGTTATTTATAGAAAACATGTCTAACCTTCCAGAAAATGACGGTCTCCAGCGAATCGAGGTGGCTCTGGTCTTGGTCGAAGTTGGTGAGGTCCGGGCAGTCCGTAGGCGACATCGATCGGTCCGTGCTGATTTTTTCTTTTTTTTTTCTTTTTTTTTCTCTCTATTTTCTCTTCTCTTCTTTCCTAAAATGGGGGTATTTTCGACCCTACACAAATAACAACATTTTCCCTTTTTTTTTTTTTTTTTAAAACTTGGTCAAAGGCTATTTTGAAAAACATACCGGGAGGGGCAGCCATTGCCCACCATTTCCTCGAGCTGAGCTGAGCTGAGAGGAGTAAAACCCGTGGTTTGAAATTTATGGATTGAGAGTTTTTCTCTTGGCCTGTGCATTGAAAGGCCCAACGGTCCAGAATATAAAAAATAAAATTTCGGTTGGGCCTACAATCAATTGGGCTCCGCCCTTGAATGGAACCTCCATTTTTCTTAATTTCGAGTTATGCTAGATGTACATCAAGGTGTCCATTACGGTGTCCATCCCCCTCATATGAAGGGAGACTCACTTCAAATAAAATATAATTTATCCAAAGTGAGTCCCCTTCATGTGAGAATGATGGATACTATTGTGGACACCGTATTATGTACAGGTACATAGCATATTCCAACTGTTTCCTGACGCATTCCTTTTGTGTCAACGGCCATGCTTCAGCAATTGTTTCCAGACATCCCCCCTCCCTCATCCATAGAGGTTCGAACCAAAAACTCCTCCTTAGAGTCTCGAGGATGAAGCTGCAAAACAATGGCTTGATGGTCTCCAGTAGTATTTTGCTTACTCTTCCTCTTTTTAGAGTACATCAAGTCACCATGATCACACGCGAATCAGAGGTTAACGGATTAGAATGTGTTTCAAATCCACCTTTAAACTCTGTCCTCTTCGTATAAGTAGGGCGTTAGAGTCTCAACATTGAAAGCCAACTAGATTAATTTAATACACGTATAATCTAATCCAAATGGTACATTGCATAAAAATATCTATTATTCTGTCTAATACGATGCACTAAATACAACTTAAATGTATTTAATAAAATAACATAAAATATTTATGACTAAGTGCAAAATACCCCGAGTAAGTTTGAACTATAGGTGATTGAACGATGGACAAATTGTAAAAAAAATTTCTTCAACATTGTCGGATCCATTTAAAAAAAACATAATAGGGAAAATTTCATAAACTATAATAATTTAAGAATACAATTTCAAGATTAGCAAACTTGTTAAAAACTTTCAAAAATCGGGTGTTATAAAATTATGACCTATAAATTAAAATTAGAAATATGTCGCAATTACATGCCACACAATTTACAGGTCACAATCACAAACTAAGTCACAATCACATAATTTACAAATCACACTCATTTTTCAGAAACAAGTTAAATTCACATACCATCTCTCTCTCTCTCTCTCTCTCTCTTTTTAATATAATAATAATAATAATAATAATAATAATAATAATAATAATAATAATAATAGAAGTAAAACTTAAAAAACAAGGTTTCAGATAATTTTCTCAACATGATTGTTAATTTGGCATTTGTTGATCGTGTTCTTATCATCATTAATCTCTTGCCTCATGGTACTGAGTTGTCTTTGACGTGCTTCCATCAATTTGTGTTGTTCTTCTTTAAGGTGGTCAT